AAAAAAAAAAAAAAAAAAAGGTTTTTCTCTTATATGTTCCAGGAACTTTTTGGTTCCCATTCCTACCAGAAGCACCATGGAGCCAGCGCCCTCTGCTGGCCAGGTGTGATATCAGGAGATGGAGTGGGACTTGCTGTGGTCATGCATGGTCATGCATGCAGGGAAACCTCAGTATCCATTCCTCATTGAGGGATTCAAATTCCCCAAAGGGAAAACTAAGAAAGAAACCCAACTTCCTAAACTGAGAACAAGATGGAAAGACTCAGACATAGAAGCACCAGAGTGCAGATTGAGGGAATACAGTTCAGCTAGGAAGTACCATGAAGAGGCTCAAAAACTACAGACTTGCAGCCAGGCACTGGTGGCTCATGCCTATAATCCTAGCTACTCAGGAGGCTGAAATCTGAGGATCATGGTTCAAAGCCAGCCCAGGCAGGAAAGTCTGTGAGACTCTGATCTCCAATAAACCACTAGAAAACTGAAAGTGGTGCTGTGGCTCTGATCTCCAATAAACCACTAGAAAACTGAAAGTGGTGCTGTAGCTCAAGCGGTAGAGCGCTTGCCTTGAGCTGGAGAGAGAGTAGGGACAGCGCCCAGGCCCAGAGTTCAAGCCCCACGACTGACCAAAAGAAGAAGAAGCTTGGTTCCTTTCCTTTCCCTACAGACATGCCACCTGTGCCAGGACCCAGGCCCAGACTCATTCCCCAAAAACCACCCACAGTGTTTTCACCTCGAGGCTCTTCAGTTGCCGAATCTTATCATCCTGGGAGCGCTTCCTGTTCTCTGCTTCTTGCTCCAGCCCCTGCAATCGCTGGGCCATCAGCTCTCTGTCCAGCCGGGCTGTGTCCCGTTCTGCCTGAGATGTTTGCAGGGCATGCCGCAGTCTCTGGGTCTGGACAAGAGGAAAACATGCAGCGACTCAGAGTAGTATAAGGTATAGAGGTGAAGAGTAGGATACTATGCATTGCCAGGAGAAGTATCCTATAACTGACATCCTTTTTGTTGTTGGTGGTGGTGATTGTGGGGCTTGAACTCAGGGCCTGGGCACTATCCCTGAGGTCTTTATGTTCAAGGCTAGGGCTCTACCACTTTGAGCCACAGCAATACTTCTGGCTTTCTGGTGGTTCATTGCAAGTAAGAGTCTCATGGACTTTCCTGCTTGGTCTGGCTTCAAACCATGCTCAGATCTCAACCTCCTGAGTAGCTAGGATTATAGGCATCATTCTTTAGAACTGCTCTCTCAGAGTGATACTATGACTGATTTTTACTCCCGTTTGTCTTAAAACTTTCTTAAGTCATTTGAGGTTTTTTTTTTTTTTTTTTTTGGTCGGTTGTGGGGTTTGAACTCTGGGCTTGGGCACTATCTCTGCACTCTTCAGCTCAAGGCGAGCGCTCTACCACTTGAGCCTCAGCACCACTTCCGATTTTCTAGTGGTTTATTGGAGATCAGAGTCTCACGGATTTTCTTGCGCGGGCTGGCTTTGAACCGTGATCCTCAGATCTCAGCCTCCTGAGTAGCTAGAATTACAGGCGTGAGCCACCCACACCTGGCTTGAGGTTTTCTTTGTAAGTGGTCTGTGTTGCCCAGGCTGTTGCTAAAACATCAAACAATTTCTGGGCACCAGTGGCTTGTGCCTGTAATCCTAGCTACTCAGGAGGCTGAGATCTGAGGATCATGGTTCAAAACCAACCTGGGCAGGAAAACGCATGAGGTGTTTATCTCCTTAACCAGCAAAAAGCCAAAAGTCCAGCTGCGACTTAAGTAGTAAGAGTACTAGCCTTTAGTAAAAAAGCTAAAGGTCAGTGCCTAGATCCTAATTTCAAGCCAAAAACAAAAACAAGAATCAAGTGATTCTCCTGCCCCAGCCATCCAAATAGCTCTATTCTTACAGATCAATGTCACTGTGCCTAGCTAGTTGAGGAGGTTTTAAAAATTCTGATCCTGGGTGTCACCACTAGAGATGAATGACTAAGTAATATGGAATATATTTTGGGGACCCTGAGACGTTGCCAGACCGCCTCAGCTGACTCTAATATGCAACAGAGTTTGAAAGCCACTGCTCTACAGACATTACACTCTCTGTTGTCTATATGGAGGACAGGTGATTCCCTTCCCCTCCCCCACCTTAGTATGTCACTGTAAATATTTCTACCTAAGTCCAGGCCTCAGGATGCCAGGCCCAGAGGCTCAGTTAACAGGCAAAGATCTTCAAATTCAAGACTCCTGGATGGTTCTTATCTTCTTGCCATCTAGATTCCTACCTCATCTTGTAGCCGGCTCAGTCCCCCAGAGTTCTTTTCAGCCTCACTAGCCCAATCTTTGGCTTGGCGCTGGGCATCTGCCACTTCCCGCCGGGCCTTTTCCTTGTAATCTTCCATCTGGGTCTGAAGCTGCTGCAGGGCTTGCTTAGAGTCATCCCCAATCTGCTCCAGCTAAAGTGCAGGAAAAAAAGTTTTCAGCATTTTTTTTTTTTTTT